TTCAACCAACAAAAATAACCCAAATAAACTTCTTAGTTGTAGTTGTCCATTTAAAAAACATTATTTTCTTCTCACAAATAATGAATTTATTGAAACTGTCAAAGAAAAGAAAAAGGCACAGAAGTAGAAGACAAAGACAGACACATACTCAAAGAAGACGATCAGAAAACATGGAGATAAACTAATTCATGAAATTAGCAAACAGACAAAAAAATTAGCAACCAGACAATCATATACAATGCCTGCTGAGAAAGTATGAAAGAAGAGTGATGAACCTTGAGCAATTTGTGCACGGCGTTTCTCTTTAGTTGAATCTCCATAAGCCTGTCAAATAAGATGCAATTAGTGGAAAGGCATATAACTTAAATGGAACCATGCTTCAAAGGCAAGTCACTGACCATGTAAAACATAACCATTCTAATAGAATTTTTGTTTAAAAATTTTCCAGATCACATGAAAAGATTTACCGATAGAGAGATAACATACTCAAATCTTAGATTACTGAGAGAAAATGTAAATGAAAGCTTATGCCACACAGCCATAGGACATGTCACCTAAAATTTTTATCTGATAGTACTCGCGGAATTATCAGGTTCAGGCCACATATGTATGCTATCAATTTCCTCAAGGTTATTGACGTGAAATATCAAGCATCACAAACTCCCCTCATAATACTTGCTACTCGCAAGTCATAAATCACAACAAGCCACATAAATTTGGCACACTTGGAATAATCAAGCCACATATAATCCCATTTTTTCCCCAATGTTACCGATACAGGAAAAATGTCAGATGCAGAGCTTCAGATAAGCTCAGATGTGCCATCAGATACCACTGATAATGATAGAATTAAATCAAAATCCATTGCAGTAAACTTTGCAATTTATTAGAAGTGTACGGAAAATGACCAATGACCAAAATGCATTACAATGAATTTCCAGTTTACAAAAGAAATGAAATACCTTTCAAGCCATAATCTGACACTAGCATGATATGGAACATAATGAAAAGAGATCAAAATACTTGATATTCAAAAACATGATATATGGATTAATTTGCCAACCAGAAATGGGATCAGATACCACATCTAAGAATGGGGATGAGATAATGAAAATTAACTAAGAGTCACACATAGAATCCCCTAAGCATCAGTGCATGGGGATTCCTTAAGCACCAAACTTAGCAATTGATTGCAGCACCAAAAGCAGGATATTGAGAAAAGTCTCAGGATAACTATTTAATAAAGATCAAACTCATGTTATTTGGGGTTTATGGGCAATGACACGTGATTTTTTCTGGGATTTACCTTCATCTATCTTGCTAAGGAATAGACCTTTTCTTAATACAAAGATCAGTAAACTTGTCCTAATAATCCTTTTTTTGAGAAGATAATTTATCAGTGTCTTTTAAAATCTCTTTCTTTCTTAATATTGATTTCTTTTCCTATGAAATAAAATTAAAGATTGATCATAAAGAAATTATAAAGGCATTTATAGTGCTTATAATTTAATAGTAATCTAACTATAACTATCAATTCTCATAGGATATTTAGAGGAATTCAAAACATAAATAAATACTATGCTACTAAATTTTTATTTTTTGAAATACTTAATGTTATTAAAATTATAATGACATAAAGAAATAACAAAACTAGAGTTGCAACACTATTCTGATACCGCCACTACTGATGTGCCCTATTCAAACCCAAAAGAAAACTAGAATTACGCACCAAGCAAGTCATCGTGGTTTCTTTTTTTCTTGATTGGGTGCAAAGGGGGAAGGGGGAGGAGCTGGGAATAAGCAAAGACAAGCATTATTTTTTAAGAACATATATCAAAGTCCAAAATAGAATGAGCAGAATTGGAACACAAACACGGCATGCAAACGGTTCTCAACATGACAATAAAGTAATGACCCACAAGCAATCACATTAAAGCTATTTGTCCAACCTCATTGGGGTCAAAGTAAGTTCTGACTAGGAGATGCTCCAGCCTCAAGTATCTTTCAGGTTGCTCCTGCTTCATAACACCCATTGCCTGAGTTTGCCTTAAAATAGCTCGTGCAGTGTCCAATTCTCGAAGTTCAATCATTTCTATAACTATCTGCAAAACTCAAGATAAAAAGAACAAGTTACAAAGTTTTAAGGTAAATTTCCAACTCAAAGGACAGAGTTGATTCTAGCCTCTCTTTTATGATCAAAGAGGAAATTTACTAGACAAAGAAAGAACAAAAAATGCAATCTAAAGGAGGATATTTTGTCAGACAGAAAGAGAGAAAAAACAGCAAAGAAATGAAAAACTAGCAAAGTGAATACAAAAATGCATCTGATCCCTTCATGTAGTAGGTAAAGGAATCCCTCCTGAAGAAACTATGTGCTCTTGCCCAAAAATTTGCCAAAGTTACCATCCTCTCCAAAATATTCGAAGTTTTACATTTAAAGAAAAAACTTCACTATAAAAGTGCATTTAAAACAAATAATAACTTACATATCTTTTTTATCTTTAAAAAAATAACTTATATATCTTTTATGCAAATAGCAACATAAATGTCTATACCTTGAAAATATAAGGTTCCTTCTCAAGGAAGCCTACAGAAAATGAGTTTGACCCAGTCATTCCAAACTAGTAAAAATAAACTCGTGCATTGGATATTTCCGGTGGCATGTCGATATACATATTTACATTAGAATGCTTATCTAGTAAACAAGAAGTTTCTCTCAAGAATCTCTTTATACAACAGTGAAGTTCTCATTTAGACAGCAATTTTTGTTTTTTTTTTCTTTTTTTTTTTTTGAAAATGAGAAGAATAATACATTCACAAGGCAGCAATAGGTTGCCACCACAAAAAGGCATTTACAAAAGAGATCAATGAGATCGAGTAACAATGGAGATTAATTCTTACAAAGCATATATATTTTAAGTGATACTGCTCACCTGCTCATAGAGATCTTCCAATTTATTCCGGGGAAGCTTAAGTTGGGCCACTTGAGGCAATATTGCATCCCACCTGCCACTGTTGATATCAGCTACAAATGTCTCAATGCTGTCTACAGTATTCAGAGAAACCTGGCATTCATTCTGTAGAGTCTGAAATGTCTGGTGCAATGAGTTCTCTTTGCAAAATTGAAGCACTATCTTTATGACACTGAAACATTGAAAAGTAATATAAACTAAATCAGAATTTCTAATAACATGGGGACTGTTTGGTTTGGAGAAATAGTTTTATAAAGAATGGCATAATTGAAAAGTTCTTTTTTTTGAAATAAAAAGTCTAAAGTGGTATATCAATATGGGCACCAAAGGGATGCCAATCCATGTAGAAAAGAACTTACAAAACTATCAACTTATTAATTAGGTCCTCTAAATCCTCCAAACTGTGGAGAATGACCCAATAACAAAAAAAAAAAAAATCAATGATCTGAAACCATCTGTTTTTAAGTAAATCAAACTCATTCACATCATCCAACTCATCAAAAGCCTTTCTGCTCCTCTCTTTCCACACTGTCAAAAATATTGTGAGCAGTATCAAATCTGCATATTTACTCCTACTCGTGATGCCCCTTCACAACCAAATCTCATCTCTCACAATCCTGTCATCACCCAACTGATACCTAACAGCTCATAAATCATAATCCATAACTTGTACACCACCGGACACCCAGCGATACATGATTACAGCTCTCCTATGCCCTCTTGCAAAAGTAACAAGCATTCACCAAAATCTTATCCCTTCTCCTCAGCTTGTTTATTGTTAAAATACATTCTCTAATAGCCTCCCACGTAAAACATGATACTCGTGGAGGACTCTTACTTTCCAATTTTGTCTGTACAGAATTCCAACATCATTACCATCCCACTTGAACAACTGCTTGTAGAA